GTCATATGTCGAGTAGTTATCAAATGTCACAGAAAACAATTTCCTGTCAATATCCCAATTTCTTAGACTAGTCATGATAACTTCTGAAAGCATGTCTTCTGTTTGGGAAGGATCAGTTGTTAAAAAATTCAGAATCTTCTTTTTCAGTTGCCAAGAGTCATCTATGTAATGTGCTGTCAAACACAAGTATTCAGCATCGCCATTAGCAGTCCATGTATCAGCACTAAGGCTGATTTTACCAGGCAATTTGTCCAATTCTTCATATACTTTCTGTCTCTCCATAAGATAAATTTCCCTGCAGTCAGCCTCAACTCCATCAAATGTTGCAATGTCAAATAAAGGTTGAAGATTTCTGACAAATATACGGAAACCAATATGTTCAACCATAGACAAAGGATAGCCATGTAATATGATCATGCGAGCAAGATCAAGCCGGCTTCGCCTATTATCAAAGTTAATCCCATTGTTGAGTAACCCATCTCTTGTGTGTCCTTGTTCAAACTTAGTCCTCACAATGCTGACTGCTTCAGCCTTCCTCTGCTCTTGATCAAAACTAAAATTCGAGATGGCAAGGGTTCCCTCCTTTTTCTTTCCCCGTGTAAGCAACTGACTTATGTCATGGTTTGATCTCCTACGACATCTGATCAAATGATTTCTCAAATGTGAAGTCCCACTGGTGCTAGACCCGCTAAGTTTCCTTTTACAGTGCCTACAGATAGCCACAAAAGTATCACCTTTTTTTACTCTATCAAAATCATTCCACACAACAGATTTTAGTCTACTAGAATTCACTATAACTGCTTCCTCAGCTATCTCCATTGCTTCCGACTGTAGCAATACCTGAGAATTTTTTTAGGGAGCATGGGGAAAGTGCAAAGACACTTATTAGTTCTAAACTAGAATAAATGAAGAGACAATAAAGCTTCAATAACACAAAGGCTAATTGTAATCAAGCAGTTCTTTTAATTACCAGTTGAATATAGCTGTTCCAATCACAACAAGCACAAAGACGTCATATATATCTTGCCAGAAATTGACAAACCTTAGAAATGATAATAAATATTTCAACACTAATTGGAAGGTCTCAATGCACATAAAGGTTGTACAACTATTTCTATCAACTATTAGGAACTTCAGCCTCTAAAAAAGCTTATTAAAGAAATAATAAGTAATACTTGGGAGAAAAGGAAGTACAAAGTAATCATCAGGGACACAGCTATATTGCATGAAGGGCCTTCAATTGAATCCCCGTAGTTTAAAATTATACTGCACAAATAAGGTAAAGACTAATTTTTTTGGCATAAGGGAATCTTCTAGTGTAGCAGCAAAGGTGGCTCCAAAATTGCTTCAAGCTGCAGGGTCGAGAGCTAGGTGGACATTCTAACATTTTTTAATCTCCTTGTTAGACCTCTTGACTGTGCTACTACCAACCATATACTTCAATAGCATCAGCAACTTGTAAGATGGCTTCTAGCTTACACAAGATCCGAAGAGCTAAACTTTTTTTTAAAACTTGAAGGATCCTCTCTGGTGCAAGATACCCTTAAATTAGTAAAGTATCGTCAACTACAACATGCTCAAAAATGAACTTTTAACAGATAAAAATGGAAGCAAACTCGTGAAGAGTTCTGAAGAAAACATGACAAACAAAGTGATCAACATAGATCATTCACTGTCAACCAAAATAACAAGATACCTTGTTTTAATGAGCAAACAAAATAGCACAACTTTCTGCATTTCAAGTTTTCTTTTCTACCATTAAATGATAGAAAGAATGTAGGTATACACAGTTGCCTTATTCGTTGGGCGAGCATCAGTATATACATATACATATATATATATATATATATATATATATATATATATATATATATTTNTTGCCTTATTCGTTGGCCGAGCATCAGTATGTATATATAATATACTAAATAGTAGACCTATGCCAGACTTTTCTACCAGTTAAATTAAGAAAAAACTATCAAATTCACCCACATATTTGGGCGAGGATCAGTATATATAATATACAAATAAACCTATA